AGGGACTGCTGAGTGGAACTGCATACCTGGGATGTTTCCTTGCTGTTTATGGGAAAGGGTTTATATTTAGGACCGAACATGCACCCTTGAATCTCAGGCATTCTGAAGGGAATGGTCAGGTGGTTTGAAGAGCTGCAGTTGCCTCATCACGGATCTGATCCCACATCTGATCATCCTTGTCTGATCTCTCTGGCAGGGACAGGCCTGGGCCAGGCATGGCCAGGCTGATGGCTTGCCCAGATGGTCTTGTTAGTAAATTAATTGCCAGCAGTGTTAAGCAAGGGATGAAGAAAGCATTGCTCAGGGGAATGAGTGCATTCAAAAGAGACATCTGTTTCACCTCGCCCTTTAATTTGCAAAAGTGTCATCATTCCTAAACCAACTGCTGAGGTAGTGGACTTAAAGCAGAAAAATTGGGCTCCAGAGCAGCCAACAGCTGCCTTTGGTTGTAGGGCAGAGTAAGCCTAGGAAGTCACTTGGTTCATAAAGTCCTGTCAGCTCAATACTCCTCATAAAATCTTTGTTATAAGAATCTTGGGCTTCAGGTAGTAAATAACACAAAGCATCTGAGAAAACGAGCGTACTATGGGGTGTGATATTCACCAATTATACTGGACAATTTCAAAGGCGGTTCATCAAGACCACAAAGCATCTGAAGATTATAAAAACCCTTCCTCAAACTAAGAGGGAGCTTTTTTTGTCTGGAAGAGAGAAGAATTTAGAAAACTGGTGCAGGAGATGTAATGGTTACATTGCAGGCAGGGCCTCTGCCTGTGTGGGGTCAGGGCAGCCCATGTGCTCACATCTCCCCCACATACTGCCTGTAGATTAAGAAAATTTATTTTTTTTTACAAAGCTTAGCTGAGATGGAAACAAGAAGCTGTGCAAGTAAAACTGTAGTGAGATATTTTTCTTAGCAGATTTGGGGTCCAGAGAGGGATTAAGGGAGAAGGTTTGAATTCAGACAGACTTATCAGGCTTTTTGAGAATTCAGGAACCCATACCTCATCTATTTTTGCCTGCAGCTCAGTGCAGTCAGTGAGCTTAGAGCCAAAAGCATTAATATGATATTGTCAGTGACACTAGTGTATAATGGAGACCAAGCAGTTCAAGTGCTGCTGCTAAATCCCCTCCCTGTTGTGTCTGTGATGTTTGGGCTCCTTCCAAAACTGGGGATTAACCAAACACGTCACTGCTAATAAATGTTGAGGTGATCATCTCTTGTTATACACATGAGTTATTATCCTGTTCCTTCTCCTTTACTTGTATCATTTGACATGGAAGAAAAACCTGTGTAGATTTTTCATTAATTATTTTCATTTATTTTGGTCTCTAGTCCCCAGCTCCAAAGGCAGCAACACATCTCTCCATCTTGGTAGCTCAAAAAAAGCAAGAGCTGAGAATATAAACCTGGCACAGTTTTTTCGTGTTTGGTCCTAACCTAAACACTCAGCCAGACCTTGTGGATGTGGAGCAATGGAATAGTGATAATTTAAACTGAAAGATGGTAGATTTAGATTGATTGTTATGAAAAAATTCTTTCTTGTGAGGATGATGAGGGACTGGCGCCGGTTGCCCAGAGAAGCTGTAGATGCCCCACCTCTGAAAATGTTCAAGGCCAGAAGGGATGGCACTTTAAATAACATGGTGCAGTGGAAGGTGTCCCTGCCCATGGTGGGAGGGTTGGAACTAGGTGATCTTTAAGGTCCCTTCTAACCCAAACCCTTCTACAATTCCTTGTGAAAAAATGAAAGAAAGCTTTTATTTGTACCTTTGCTAACAAAAAAAAATTGAAGTCAGGCTCCAACACAATGAGAAAGCAGTGCAGCTGTGCAGGGAAGCCCTTGTCTGAGGGAAGCTGGTCCTGTGCCACAAGCCTAGTCCATAAAGCAGGAGAGGAGTATCAGAGTGTTTCTGAAGAGGAGTAGAATCAGAGCAACACAGCAAAAAATCAAGGATATCTAGGAAAGATTTATTTGAGTAACGCTCAAGGGAAAGAACAGCACTTTTGAGCAGCATGTTAATATGTTTGAAATACTTCCAACAATTCATATCAGTTCATCCAGCCATATGCTACCTCTATTTATTTGTTGTTCTACTGTGTCAGACTTAAGGCATCTGGAGAATAAACGCCCAAGAAATGTCAGTAATAAGTCAGAAAGGTTTATTGTTTATTCTCTTGGAGCTGCCTTCCAATTTATCGAAGCAACACCTGAGTTACAACAGAAATTGTTATCCAGAGTAGCACTTCCAGCAGGCCATGTAGGGAATTTTGTTTGGTTTTTTAATTACTCCAGACTCATTCACCTCCCTCTCTACCCCATTTCAGGCCCAATAAGTTTTCCATGAGGAGCAGCACTGCCAGTGACTACTCGAGCCTGAGTGATTCTCAGCTGCTCTTTGGCTCCCAGTTGTGCCCGGAGAACGCGCAGTCGGCAGCGGCACCGCTGGAGCTGGGCACGCAGCTGGGACAGCAGAACTCCCAGGATGTGAGTCTCACTCCCTCAGCCCTGTGCAGGCACACAGCCACCATTCAAATCCATGGAAAATGCTGAAATCAGGTGGTAACATTTGCAAATGTCAGTAACTGCTGAAATCAAGTTGTCTTCTTCCTACATACACATCCTTACTGTGACAAGACAAAGTAGCAGCCTGGTCAGAGTAGTGTGGTATTTATAACAGATTGCTATAAATTATTATTGAGATAGGTATGATTTTCTTCAACCACATTTTTTAAGTTACTGAAATAATATGAAATTATTCTCAAGCTAATGTCTTTAGACCACCTACCTAGCTAAGTCAGAATATTACATCTATTTTTCTTTCAAAAATGATATATTTAGCTTCCTTAGCTTTCTGCAAGGATGACAGAGCTACTCAGTGTTTGCTTCCCTGCACTGACAATGACCTTGCTGCTCTGTTGTTAAGGTAGATGCTTGGATGATTTTGGATAGGGGTGAAGAGTTTTCTAAGCTCACAATATTCCTCCTACAGCTCATGGTTTCTGGTGTTGCCAGCCTCCATTAAAATAGTTCCTGCACAGCTAACAGAGAGAATCAGATTAGAATAAACACACCTGGAGCAAAGATTAGGGAAGGGCAGTGGTGCCAGCTTGGAGGCCTCAGGCTGTCCTTCAGTTCCAGATGCTATCTGCTGTCCTATGTATTTTGCTTAGGAGCAGTTTTCATCAGACACAAAACAGGAAATTCACTTTTCACAATTGAAAAACATTGATGGAATTTGCATTTTTTTATGTTTTAAGGAAAAGGCATTGCCATTTTTGTCACACAGTGTCTGGAAATTTTGTAGAATGAAGCTTTTATATTAATATTAAATTTCTGTTCTAAAATGTGTATTGAAGCATGTGAAAAACTCATCTACAGTCTGTCGATGTTGCTAGTTGGCAGCAAAATGATGTCATCCACCAGGCAATTCAATAAGATTTTTTTTAGATTCCTGTACAGGGAGATTCTACTGACAACTTGAACTTTTCTACAATTTCAGGAACACTGAAATTCATTTATAGTCCCTGTCTTGAACATAGAAGGGAAAAAACCCAGCACACCTTATAATTGTAGCAAACTGAAAATCCTCAAGATGAGAGAAAAGCCTGTGTCTGGAGGAATTTGGGCTGGGTCTCAGTTCCACAGAGAGCTGATCTAACTAGGCACACTAAATGAGGCATAATCTCACAAAATTCTTAATCTCCTCATCCAATGTAATCTGTCATGTCCAATCACTGGGAAGTCTGTCTGCACTGGATAAACAAATGGTTTCTTCTAATTAATGTTCTGATTATTTTTGTACTTCAACACTTTTCTTTTGTTTGTGTCACAGAGCGAGCCCAGTATTTTTACCAAATACCAGACAAAACCACAGTTATTTGATGAGGAAACAAGAGAAAAGGGTTCTCTTAATTTTGGTGCAGGAAGAGCAAAAAGTGTCTTGGAAAATTTTGAAGTGGATAAGCAAAAAATAAAGGATAAATATGACCGGTATGTAGACATCCACTGGAAATTCTCTCTTCTGGTAGTTATCACTCTCTGCAGCTCCTTCTTCCACTCTTACAGATCACATATGGCATATCTGCATATTTCTCTAAGAAAAGTATTTTCAGGTTTTAAATAATTTCTAATTAGAAAGAGTTGCAAGGTAAGAGAATAGTGTTTATTTGCAGTTTATGTAACACATTCAGCCATAAGCCCCACTGAACAGCAAAACTCTAACCTAAATTTACCTTTGTCTTTATCTAATCAGCATTGTTTCTTTTTTCTGTATTGATTCTCTGTGAAAACCCTTTTCTCTCAAACTTTTATAGGCTATGTGGGGAGTGATAAAAGGGACTCTGAGGGTGGCCTTCACATTTGGGCCAGATGAGGGGATTGCCAATCACACTTGTGTGCAGATTGCATCTTTATAAACCTGCACATGTCTCTAGAATTTTATTTCCATACAAGATTTTTATGTATTGGTTTTTTGGTAACAGACAAGTGTTATTTGCTTATGTAATTTGCATCTACTCTTTGTCAGACATCAAGAATTACAGGTACCTGTAGGTCCTGAAGGACTTCAAGGAACAAGCCAGCAATTTGAAGCTCAAAAATGAAATATGGCAAACTCCCCAGTGCACCTATAAATAATTCTTAGCACTGTACATTTTGTAATGTAACATCCAAAGTGAAGTGTGTTTTTATTGAAAGCCTTTGATCAAATCTGGCTATGTATCTCTCCTGCCTTTTTAATGGGCACTGCCTTTCTGATAAGACAAAATTTAATTCTCAATTGCCTATTAGAAGAAGATTTTTGTAATGAAATGACAAAGTATTTTTAAATGTTTAGGCATCACTCATAATTATTCCTTATTTTTTCTTTAAATGGATTATGCTTCTTCCTACACTCCAGACTTGCTCCCAGATTAGAAGCCTGTTTTTAGAAATAACTATATTATCTTTTCAAAGATAAGCATATAATTTATCAATTTGTATCCCCCTCAAGTTTGACTAAGAAAATTAGTATCTTCCTTTCCACAAGGCTAGAGAGATTTCTCATAACTAGATTCTACCTGGCCTCTGCATATTTTTGGCTGTTGTAATTTAGATCACTCAAATGATTGACTTCAAATGACCCAAATCTTCAGAGAGGAAAAGGTTATCACTTTGCTTAGCAACCATCCGTGCATTTTGGTGTGGCAAGTTAATCATGAATATAGCCTGGTTCCTGATACGCTGGCTCAACTTAAAAGGGCAGATAACAGAAACCGCAGGCATAATCTCAGGAGAGAAAGATCTGCAGTATTTGTTCTTCCTGGCCTGGGCTTTGTTGATGCTGAAGCTTTTCCCGTGTTTTTCCCACAGTTATTTTAGTCCGAGCACAATAGCCGTGTATCGCAGCAACTGGCGCGTCACAGGCCGGGTCCTTCCGGAGCCGATAACAGCGCTCACACCCCAGCAGCTAATGGACAGCTGGGCAAATGCCAGCGAAAAATCTGACAGAGAGGCCAAAATCTGAGAGTAAAAACCCCATAACTTCATGTATTTGATATATATGAGCATGTGTGAATATGTATTTTTTTCTTACTTTACATTGCAGAGTCCATGTTTTCCTGAAACAGCTGAGGTGACTTCAAAGGGTTATGCCCCCTGAAGTAATCATGGTTCTGTGCTAACATTTCATTCTACATTATGCCTTGCAGTGTTTCATGTCTCATTTTTACAGTGATCTTTTCAATTTTTGTACACTTCAGTAATTTACATTTCTGTTTCATACTTGTTGGTTTTTTTCCATTTTAGTGAAGTCCTAAGCACATTTATTTCCAGCATCAAAGACAAGCTTCAAGAGGTAAGCTACTTCAAATTCAGAATGTAAAATAATGAAGAGTTAGAAATACTACAGACTATTCAGTATTCACTTTCTCTCCTTTGCTATGCTGATATCTAAAATATTACATTCTGTGTCTTAAGCACTCAAATACTTTAAACCAACAACTGTAAGGGTTTTTTTGCATATACCATTGCCTTTGTGTCCTTAGAGTCAAGGTCTTTAGGGACTTGCCTCAGAGCCAGTAGTGGAATTTCTCTGGGTCTCTAGAGCAAAACAAGCTTAGTGGCAGCCTGCAAATATCAGTTGTTTTCCCTTCTGCCTGAAGAAAGCAGTCTACTCTCAGGATTAGTCATTGTGGTCTGAAGGTGAAGGTCTCTGACCCAACACTTCTAAAATTCATTTTATTAGTTATTATTAATCCTATTTTACAGATCAGTGTCTCTTTTTTGAAATATGTTCAGATTTCATGAGCCTTTTGAGCCATCCCAGATCTTCTTTGGGGTTGCAACTAACAGCTGCACAAATTGTTTCAAGTGACAGATAAACAACCATTTTCAGGCTGTTCCATTTCATGAGTTGCAGTCATTGTTCTGTGGCATCTGGGGATGTGATTTTGCAAACAAAGAAAAGGCAATGTTTTAATTTCCCCATTTACCTTTGTTTTTACAGCTGCCAGTGCGCTTCGAGAAGTTTGAAGAAATGCTTGATTCCAAACTCAAATCCAGTTTGGTTGGCCTAGAAACCCTTTTCAAGACATGTAAGTCCTTCCTGTGTTCCTGTTAACAGCAGAGGGCACAGTCAAACTGCCAAATGTCAGCATGTTGTCAGAAGGCTGGGGTGAATTGGGCAAGTCATTCTGCTCACAGCTGTTCTCCCTTAGGGAGGAGAGAAAAGAAGATTTATCCATGGTATGGACTTGTCAGGTTTTCCATTCCTATTATCTCATTTTTTCCTTTTCTCCGTTCTCTTGTACTTAGGTGTGGCATGGCTAGACACTGTGCTCAAATTGATAAACACACCTCTGGTTTTGTGTTTTGTCTGGAGTATGATCATTTTTAGGCTATCTGGAGTACTAATGGAATACACAGTAAAAAATAACTCAGATATTTATATCCTGAGTATCCACATTCAGTTTTTAGGGCTTTCTCCAATTTTCATATGTTAGTTTGAAGTCTTCCATTGCTCCTCTGTGCTTGAAGTGATTAAGTTTTGGATGTAAACAAAACTAGTGTTGCTCATTTCTTGAATGAGAAGCACATAGTGAAGCACACTATTGCCATGATAAAAGGGTGACCTCCAGAAAAGCCAATAATATAAAATACTTTTGAACAACTCTGTCTCTCAAGTGGCTAATCACAGAATCTTTACTGAGGGAAAATGCTTCAAGAAATCGTTTCTAATTTAGCTTAGATCTGAGCCTTTGAGAGTACATTAATTTTTAATGCTGGTGTGATGCTTTATCAACACTCTGTCAGGACTGCTCAGAGCTTGCTCTGCTCTGTGCCAGAACAAGAGGCCATTTTCAATATACACAAGAAACGTGAAGTGAGTTGTATCTTGTGAGATGAAGGCAGCAGACCTTCACAAAAGCACAGTGGTATTTACTGTGTGGCAAAATGTGGCTTCCACAAAGCACATCTCTGACAGATAGCTTTTAAATCAACAGAGCCCTCTCAAGCAAAAAGAGTGGAGTCTGATTCATTATGCTGGAGGCCATGATAGGCTGTACATTTGAAATACCAATCTCATTGTACTAAGAACATTCCCTTGCTGTGTTTGGCAAATGCTCTTGGTGGGACCCTAATGTAAACAAAAATCTGTCTGCTTTGGCTAGCACAGCAAATTCCCTCTTACACATTTTCCCACCTCCTAATTACTTCAGTGCCTCAGCTTGTCCACTCTGCAGCAGGACTTTGCCTAATTTCACATAGCTCGTGAACAGAAATTGTTGTCATGGCACTGAAAATCAAATCTATTGTTCAGGGCTCCCCCTCTTCATTCCATATCATTTACTCGGTTGTCCTGTTTCGTCTCCATATCCATTTTCAATGAATGTGCCTTGAATGAAATGAGAAACCTCCCAGAGGTGCATGCTGCTAGATTTTCAAAGCAATTGAAAAGAAAAATTGGCAGTTTCTGTAATGCATCATGCTGCAGAATGTTGAATATATAATGAAAATCATCACATGCTGCACAATGTTGTTCTTTTTATATTTCTGGGAGGTTCATCTGTCACTGGTTAATTGCAGATAAACACTGCCATTTGACTGATATCACAGTGATGGATAATTAAGTTCCCACGAAATAGATACCTACGCTAGTGCCTTGAAAAGAGGCAGTTCCCTTGAAAAACTGGTATAAAATTCCAAAACTCAGGTGACAGAGCTAAATTCAGAGCTAATAAAGTTCTGAATGCCAGTGAGTGATGATACAGTACCTTGGGATCTGGGTTACATGGCAGAGATATGTTAAATCAGTGGCAGTGAAGGATTTCACATGTAGGAGAGGAATGCAGAAGATGAAGAGAACTAGTGCACCAGAACATTCCAACAGCTCTGAAAAGCAAAGGAAGGTGGAACTTGAAATCAAGTCTATCTTCATTAAAAGCTTATAAGGAGTATCACTGGTTGCATTTTTAGCAGTGGGTAGCAAGCATATTTGGCATAGTCTGCACAGCCACCAGGCAAGAGCAAAACAGAAAATATTTTTCAAAATGTATTTCCAAAGCATTTCCAAGTGCTGCTGGGCTGGCGTGGTCTGTGCAGGAAGATTTTTTAAAATGTTCTCTTTTGAGTGTTTGTCCATATGTGCTTGCACACAGTGCATAGAGCTGTGTGTGGCCCTGGAGATGATACAAGGTTTGGCTGAGCAGCTTCCACAGAGGCACAGGAGCTCTGTGCCTTGCTCACATCTCAGTGTGCAGTGCACAGGGAGGTAAAGGGGCAGACAGACCCTGTGGACTCAGTTCTTCCACCTTATATACACATACTTTTTCTCCTTGACTTGCCCATTCATTATTTTCTATTTCCTTCTGGTTTCCACTCCTGTAGCTTGTTTCTTTTCATATTTTTCACATTTTAATTTTCATATCCACCCTTCTATTAAAGTCTTCTATTTTTTTTATACAAATGTCAATTTTCACCACTCAGCCCTCTCTTGCTGCTTTGCTGTTCTGTATCTGGTAGTTCCAGCTGTGACAGCTCAGAGCAGCTGAATCCTCCACAACACCTTGTCTGCAGTGCACACGAGCAGCATCCTCCCAGCCTGAGTGCCACAGGCAATCCTCTGACACACTGCCATCAAGGGTGACAAAACAATGTGCAATATGTCACTTGCAGAGGTATGAGGTGATGCAGCTCTCTGACAAGATGCAGGGCACAGTGAGCAGTTTTCAAACATGACTTGCTTCCAGATTCCCCATGCCCAGCAGCTGCTGGCAAAGTTTCCAGGGGACATGGCTGTGTTTAAAATGGTGAGATTTGAACTTGTTTACCTTGAACAGCATGGTCCAGACTGGGACACCCAATTCAGACTCCCTTATGTCCTGCATGGATTGAACAGTCAAAAAGTTTGAAACTGATTTAAAAAATGGTTTCTTCCATGTAGCTGCTAGCTAGCCATGCAGTGACTGACAAAGGTGAGGGACTTAACCAGACGTTTAGTCTTAACTTGAGGGGACTTAACCAGACTCCATAAGAGCTCAGTATGGATGGTGAGAGGAAGTGTGGATGTTCCAGTAGATACTGGAATCCCTCATTGTCACAATTCAGGGCTTGGAGCAGTGTGTGCTGTAGCACAGGGTGAGATCAGGGGCAGCTCATCCCACAGTCCCCTGATTCAGGTGCTCTCTGATGTCTTGTGGAGCAGGACCCAGGCTAAGCCAGCACAAAGCTGCCAGCTGACTGCTTGCAGTGTATCTGAGCAGGGTGCAGCCATGTCAGCCAGCTCTCTCACCCTCTGGCACAGCCCCATGGCTGCCCAGGGAGAGCATGCACTGCTCTGCTGAGCTCCAGAGCTGTCTTCCCTGCTCGTGTCTCACCAGATTTGTGGCACCTCCAATTTCCCCTACTGAATCTGGGCATGGGGAAACCAACCTCCTTCCAAAGTGTTATTTAAAGTGGCTGTGCTGCTAGTGCCAATCTCAGGATGAGCTGCACAGATGATGATAGAGAGGCATCAGAAGCAGTTGCTGTTTAATATTCCTAGGCTGGGAGGCTGGTGCTCCCTCCCTTGGCTGCTCAGGCTGTAGTTTTCAGCTGCTGGGAGTGCAGCTGCACCTGAGCACAGGCTGATTTGCAGGGAACTCTCTGCAGCACAGGGTGGCAGCCCTACCCCAAGGTCCTTCAGCCTTTTATCTCATGCCAGATTTCATATTCCAAATGTTGTTATTGTAAACAGCAGCATTGGAACACAAGGGTACAGCAAATCAAAACACAGCAATGTCTCAGATTGTAAAAAACTGCTTTGTTTAAATTACCTCGAGAGAGGCACAAGTCTGTGCATAAGTCACCCATTAACTGAGTAAAGATTTCCTGTCTGTGATCAAGTTATTCAATAACTATCTGCTGCAGGGTTTATTTGAAGGAAATCTCTGAAGCAGCCCTTCTTGATCATATTCAAAGAAAAAAGACTTAACAGGGTCCTTGATCTGATCTAATTTGGCTGTCTCAAGGCCTATTTTTTTGGTAAGCCTTTATTAACACTTATTTTTACCTTGTTTATTAGTGCTTGACAAGTCTGAACACTTCTCTGGGTATAGAAGCAGGGAGGGAAGGAGAGTCCCCTCCTCTGTACTGAGGGTTTTTTTCTGCAGGATACTCCTACACGTATAAACGAAACACGTTCAAAAGGCTGGCTGCTGCTTGCTTGCCGGCAGCACGCTGTGCTGAGTCAAATGTGTGTGCAGATCACAAGCCCAGTGGATGCAGGACTATTTTTAGACTGAGGATAGTATGTTGAAGAAGAATAGATAGATTAGGGAAACCAGAAAGTTTTAAAAATAATTCTGAGCTAAAATTAAGCATATGGGGAAGAACAGCAAGGTAAGCTTGCAGATGCTGCCCTTCTTTTATCTTCACGATGTAGGCATGGAAGGTGATAAAGAGACATGAAAGGAGTTTCTTCCTTCACTCAGTACTGCTTTCCTTCTCTTTGTAGGTTGGCAGGCTCCCCCAAAACCTCCTCTCAGATTGCAGGTAGCCTTTGTTTCCAATCAGGGAGATGAAATGTCTTAAAGGCCCACTCAGACATTCACTCCCCCGTTACAAATCCATTCTACAAACTATAGCTTTCCAGGTTTCTAAAACAGTCTAAATCTGTCAGAACAAAACACTAAAAGATTAAAAACAGGAACCACATTGACTGCAACAGCATATTGTTAGAAATACCTGCAGATAATCCTCAGAAATCAGTCAAGCTCCTACAGAGAACAAGGCAAAGCCATGTGGTGATGTGCATCCTGATATAATGGAGAAATTCCCCTCGAGCTCCAGTCTGGGAGGTGGTTTTAATTCAGTGTGTGTGAGGATGATGCACGGATAAGGCAACTGCAGGGTTCTATCTCCCAAATGACAGCTGTGTGCACTGTGCCCAGCAGGGCTACTTTGGAAGAGGCAAAGTTAAAATCCCAGCAGGGCACAGGGGATTCCTGGTGCCAGGAGATGCCATTCCCTGTGCCCATCCCTGAGTGGCACCTCCAGCCCTGTGCCACCCCGCGCCTCAGCTTTGCGTGGCTGAACGAGACAAACACTTTCAATCTCCTTTCATAAGAGGAGATTACCATGTAAGCACTTAATTAACTTGCAGCTTTTCTCTGCCCATGTCTAGCCCAGTCTGTGTCTTTCCTTGCACATAGACAGCTGGGAAGGATTGTGGGCTTCCAGACATCCTGGGGTGCATAGCAGTTCTGTCAGCCAGAGCTGGTGCATGGCCACTCACCCCACTGCCCAGTGTCACCTGTGGCCTCAGGGGCTGGCATTTACTTCCTTGTGTCACTTGCTAAATAACTGAATGCCCTTTGACTTTTGCACCCAGGTGACTATAGCAGATTTTAAACCTGTTTGGCCCATGAGAAGACCTTGATGAGCACCTGTCAGAGCTGCCTTGTCCCTTCATGCCACTCAGCTCCAGAGCTGATGTTTTCCCTTTAGTTGAGGCTTATTTTTTAAGTTTCTCCTTATTTTTTCTCCCTTTTTTTATATTACATGACAACTTCCAGTGAAAAGCTTTGTTTGAATCTACAGAAAGGCCACTGTGTTGTCTTTGACAAAGAAGTCACCTGCATTGTCTTAGAGCATTAAATCACAACCCACCTTTTATAAAATCTTGTTCTTATTCTATTTCCTTTCATATCTTTGAGTACTTTTCTCCTCAAAGTCTGTTCTAAAACCTTGCACCATAAGACAACAAATTACTAAGCCCATAATTGCTCAGATTTTTTTCCTTTCTTCCTTCTCAAAATTTCAAAACCATCCCTGTTTTTTCAGAAGCAAAGCCTGTACAATCACTTTCTGCCTGCCGCTCCCTAATAGTTATTAGCTCTTTAACCAATTCCATCTCCAGTTTGACAGAAGGCCACAGCTCACTGAGATAATTAAGTCCCTGGAAGCTTAATGAAAAGAGCTGAGCAGGAGGAGAAGGGATCCCCAGTGCCCTGCAGCCTTTGAGCACAGCACTGTGGGGCAAAAGGTGCTCAGCAAGGAGCTGAGATAAACACTGCAGAGCAGGAACAGCTTCAGATGGGCTCTCAGCTCCTCTGACACCAAAGTCAATCAAACACCTTGGATCTGTAGCAAAAGAAGATTCATTAATTGCAGGGCTCTTGTAGCAGCTTGTTGAAATGTAGGCTTTATTCTGATTTCTCTCAGGTATGCAGTGCTCCAGCACTCCAGGGTTTCAGTTCTCCTGGCCCATTGGTTTGGCAGTGCTTTACCTTAGCAAGAGTGCTTTGGATCCTGTTCTGTGCCAGCCAGCCAACATTCCACACCATCTGTACACACCTTCCTGCACCCTTCACAGGAAAGACCAGACATGTTTAGCTCTTTCTCTCCACTCTTTCTCAGCTCTTTCTCTCTGTCCTAATTTACAAATTTAAAGTAGACTTCCACAAGATTGCTAAAGATTTTTCATCTCCACACACAATGCAAGCTGTGTTCCTATCCCATAGTGTATTAGGCACAGCAGTTGTTCCTATAAGAGTAATTGAAGTTGTATGGGGGGAGTTATATAGTTATACAATCATATAACACAAATCCCTGGGCTTTTATCAGTTTTTCAAAAAGACTGACTGAAGCCAAGAGCAACTTGCTTCAATTTAAAACCCTCCCAGGGAGCCTGTGCCTCCACAGGACTCTGCTGGGGCCCCCACTACTAAGTGCTGGGCACAGCTGCCTGGTTCAGGTGATTTCTGACCCCATCTCTTCCCATGACCAGCAAATGGAAATTCCAGTTCTTTGCACACTCCTTCATAATTTCTCTCTATTCCTTCTAGCAGTTTTCCTTCCATTTTCAGCCTCCTGGGCATTTGTGACACAGTTTCTCTGGTTGCACTTCTTAGCCATTAACTTCTTACACCTCCATCCAGTTCAAGCCCCATTTCCCATCACCTGGTTGCATGAGAGTGTTGTTTTTACAGGGGTGGATCAGTTGTACTGGGGTCCCCCTGCCTTGGCCATGCCTGTTGTGCACCTGGCAGACAACCAAGCCTCAGCCTTCCCTGCATTCAGCCTACCAAATTCTGCAGCTCTGCACAGCCTCTCTTCTCCAGCTGCCACATTAACAGAGGGCAGTAAATGAGGTTTGGACTATGTGCAGCATCTTATAAATGTCAAGTGTCTTCCATTAAAAATCCACCCCATTGTTCATTGCTCAGGGCTTGGGGAGATCACAGCAGGAGAATCATGTGGTGATTCATGCCAAGCCATGCAGAGAGTAGCAATAGTACTGATAGCACTTTATTCACATTTACAAATGAAAGACCAAATGTGGTTTTTATTGATTTCCCTATTTAGTGGAAGATGCTCTTCAAAGTCACTGCAGCTTGGTGCTGAAAGCTTTGACAGAAAAAAGCCAAATGGAGCAGGCACTGCTGGAGATGGAGAGGAGACTTGCAGCCGTAAGTGAAGAAATTAATCTTTTATTCTGAATCCTCAAACTGAATTTCTCCAGCTTCTTCAAAATACTGACTGAATATTAAATTGCCTTTGAATGGTGGATTATAAAGCAGACTGCTCCTGTTATAATGAAAGGGGAAAGACATATTAAAAAGCTAATTCTAGGCCAGCTACTGACAGAGGCTTACCCAAGCTAACAGTGCTGTAAGCTCTGACAGAGCCCTGGTCAGTAAGAGAAGAAGCCAACAGTGCCTTGTTGTGGCAGGCTGTGATGGAGCACTCTCTGCTTCCTCACCTGACACATGCCTTTGCTGGAGACATGGTGCAGTGCATGCCTGTGAGGGGAGAGCACCTTGTCCCTCAGCACCTTGTCCCTTCAGCCAGGTGTGTCACAGGGAGAGGAAAAAAGACGTGAAAAGGAAACAAGTGGATGTGAGCAACACAAGAATGAACTGTCAGAGACCTCCTGATCAGGCCTGGTTTCTCCAAAGGCCCTGCTGCAGGAATTGTTTTTGGCAAGGATGTGTCACACCAGCACATGAGAAGGCAGTGCTCCCAGGAGAGGGGGCACACTCTGGGTTAGGGGGATGCTCCAGTCCCAAAACTCTCACCTTTGTGGGAGAGTTTGAGGATATCTATTACACAAGAAGATGCAAATTGCTAATCTTTGGGTCAATACCAAACTGACACATAGTACCTAAAATTTCCTTACTATTGTGCCTTTTTGTGTGTTTTTTACTGCTTCTGCTCTGCTTTCTGCTTCCCCAGAAAGATGCTGAGATTTTGGATATGAAATCCAGTATGCAGCTGCTGAAGGAAGGTCTGGAGTCCCTGCCAGCCCAGCTGAATGACCAGTTCCTGAAATCGTGTAAAGAACTTGGCTTCCTGACGCCGTGTAATGCCTCAGCTGGGCAGCACACGCTTGTGTCTGGTGCCAGCCTGGCCCCTCACACGACAGATAAATCTTCCCAGACCTCCCCTGGGCCGTGCCAGTACTGTGTCCTGAGTGAGAAGCACCTGCACAAGCCATGCTGCCCAGGCAGGGGAGTTTGCAGCTGTTCAGGCTGGTCTTATTTCCCCTGTGTGACAGTGGGACAGCAACACAGAGCCTCCCCTGGAGGGAACCAGCTCACTGGAAATGGCACATCTAAGGGTGACCTAAACCCAGCCTCAGAGGACAAAGCCAGCCCCATTGCTACAGCAGCCTGTGGCACAGCAAACACCTTTTTGCAGGAGGTGAAATGCAGCTTGGAGACACAGAGCTGTGCTGCCCATCCTTGCATGTGCTGGGCTGGCAGTCACTTTTTGGGGAGTAGTCAGAAGAAACAGTGTCCTGTACTACTGGAAGGGCCTCTACGAACCCCCCTGAGGAAGGTGTTCAGGAGAGGCACTCAGGGGTTTAAACCCCTGACACCATCACAGCAGCAGCAGCCTCAAGTTTGCCACCATTCTACACAGAAAGCTACACCTGGGCAAAGACACAGCAACTGGCCCACAAACCATGAGGTGGAGAAGGCAGCTGTAGGGAACAAAACAAAACTGAGTCCAGGAAGGATGTCCTGGAAAAGAGCAATAAGGAGAAAGACAACACACTCCACCAAGAGGAAAGGTGAACGCTCTGGATGTGCTGACAGTGGGCTGAAGCAGAGGAAGGCAACTGGGATTATTGACTTTGAAAGCTCCAGAAAAAATACCCCTCACAGCTACTTGGTTGATCTCAATTCAGAAAACTCTGACCTGGTTTTTGCAGCTCCCCATCAGCAGATCCTCAGCAGTCCTAAGATGGGGTTTACAAAGAATTTCACACCAGTGCCACACTCTGATAAAAGCTTGCAACAACCTGAAGGCAAAAGAAAGAGAAGTCCTGAAATTAAAAAAACAATGAATGTTTCCAGTGTACAAAGGTATCTCCTGGATTCCTCTCCCGAGGAGAATGTACTCTCCCTGTGTAGCACAACAGGTGTAAAGCAAATGAGCTACTTCAGCCGCCAAAGTCCCTCAAGCTCCAAGAAACCACACCCTGTCAATCCACAGGCACAGCAGAAAACAGCCTGTTGCTCTTTACTGTTAGATAGTGATTCTTCTGATTGAAGGGGTTTGTTTCATGCTCAGAGCCCTTAGTGCAGAATGACCATTTCAGCTGCAGTTTATTCCTCTAGGTGTGTTACTGGCATAGTCAGAGGCAAGACTCAGGCCTGCATGGTTGAAAGTGCTATTGCCCAGTTGGAGATATTGTAAGGGACTAAGCAGGGCTCTCCCCTGGCTTGGAAAGCTGAAGGGATCTGTGCTGCTTTACTTCCCTGCTCCCAGCAGAAATGCCATGGGCTTGAGTTACACATTTACACAGCAGTGAAGTACCTGACATTCCCAGGGAGGAGAGGGCAGGCAGAGCAGACTGTCAGCTCAGTCAGATTTGGCACCGAGGTCTACTGGAAGCTCCTCAGCTAGATTGATACAATGCTATCTCTGTGGCCCGAGGCTTCACTCTGTTTCTCACTCCTAGTATCTCTGTTGGTTTGCTATGTAAAAGTTCAGGTTTTTAGTAGAGTAGTATTGTTCTGGTTGATTTCAATCAGGTTCAGATTTGTCTCAGGAGTTGTTTGTGAATGTTTGGCAGGAAGAGGTTTAACTGAGGAAAACCAAACCCCAGCATCTCAGGTTTGTCCAGTACTGTATCTCTTCTCCTTACAGGCTGAAATTCCTCAGTTTCAGAGATTCCAGGAAGTTATTTTGTTTCTACTTCATTTGTCTTTTGTATCTCTTGGCTGATTAAAGAATTCTCCAACATACCCTTTTCAAGGCCAGTGGTTCTCAGAAACCAAAGATACAACAGGCAGATCCAGCAGATGAGATGTCTGGACAGTCCCAGTTCCCACAGAGCAACTCTCTTCAGGGTGCCCAGCTGGGACTGTGGGCAGCTCCCACTGCTTTGGGCATTGGTGTCACGTTTGATTTTTGATCTGAAATGTTACCAGCAAAAGAAACATTTTGGTGTTGACAAAACCAGAATGCCACAAATTCAAATTATCCAGCTATGCCATGGAAAATGGCTGTGATCCCTTTCTTCTGGCTTTAATAAACTCATCTTCACCAGAGCCCAGTGTCTCTATGTTGGGTTGGGTGTTTTTTTTTTTTTTCTTTTTTTTTTGTTTTGTTTTTTTGGGAGAGGTAGAGTCCTGTTCCAGCAGGAGAACAGGCAGCTGTTCTTTAGCTGTTTAACTCCCCTGGATCCTGGAATCGGGAGGATTCTTTTTTTAGCTCCTCTCTGGTGTTTAAGGACAGAAACCTTCGCCCTTGCACCTTAACATTGGTCCAGTGATGTTAATTAACAAGGAGAAGGGGGGGTGGGGGGGATAGTTAGATATGGGGAGCCCCCAGAGCCTTGGGACGTCCCTGTCAGTGCAGGGGGTTGGTGATGGCTGCCGGCAGGAGAGGCTGTTATTTACATTGCCCTTGTTTACCCGCCCCCCTCCAGCAGCCCCAGCACGCTGGGCAAAACCTGTTTGGTGGGCTTGCCACTCCGTGTGCCTTGGAATTAGCAAGGACTGGTGCAGGTCTCTGTGCAGCCCCTGGTGTGGATGCTAGGAGCTCGGCAGCACATGGCTGAGCTTGGAGGGACCTCTGGAGGTGTCTGCTGCAAGCCCCTGTGCAGAGGCAGAGCAGGGACTGGCTCTTTGGCATGCTGAGACGGAGCATCAGTGCCGTGGGGTGCAATGCAGGGCTGCCCTGGGGACCCTGCAGCTCCTTGCCACAAGCAGACACTGGAGCACAGGGCAAAACAAAATCCCTGGAGATGGAGGAGTAACAGCAGGAGCAGCAGCAATGCCTCCCCTTGCACAGGACAACCTCCCTGGTGCATGGAAGCCCCAGCATAACACCCTGGCCCCCACAGTCCCCCTGTCTATTCCCACTCAGGGTCTCCTCCAGGGTTTCAGCTGCCAACAAGGGCGTTTGTCCCAGTATGGCTGTGAGGATGGCAGCTCCTCTCCCAGCCTTGCTGGACAAAAGTGGAAGTGTGTGTGCTGCATGGCAGTGGATTTCCAAGATAATCTGCTTGCACCCTGGTGGAGCTGGTCCTGCCTCCCAGCCGGTACTCCCAACTCACTGTCACTGGCTCCTTGCTGGGTCAGCCATGCCCCAAGTATGTGTGATTTCTCCTGCCCTTTGTGTCCATGGAGCTGCCATACCAGTGTTTGTGAGGGGCTTGTCCCAACCTTCAACCAGGGAAGGTGCCAGGGTGGTTCCTCCTGCAGCATAGCCAAGAAGAACTGTGGAGGGCACAGGGCAGAACCATAAAACACAAACAATGGTCAGGAAAAAAGCAAAGCTGGGTTCCAGTCTGAGGGCATTTAATTGGGGCCATTTTCTCTGAAACTCTGAAACTGGAGTTTGGAACCTTTCTTGGGGGAGAACAGTGATCAGAAGCCTGTGACACCCAGGTGGCCCTGGGCACAGGGGTTGAGAGAACTGGATGGTGCATCCTCCACCCAGTTGTGCAGGCAGCAGGCACGTGGCTGCTGCAGCAGCACAGAGCAGGGGCTCAGCTTTTCATCTGCCAGTGAGTCACTTGGCAGAGGAGGAAACCTCTGACAGCACCGAGGATGTGGAGGTGGCTGCTGTGCCCCTGCCTGGTGCTGAAGGTTCTCCAATGACTGTGGCATAGAGGGCACAGCCAGCTCCCTTCTCACAGTGCCACTGCACACCCAGCACTGCAGCTGCACCTTCCTCAGGGTGAGACCATCCAGCTGCAGTGGTGCCCAGTGCTGGCAGTGCATGGTGCAGGGCAGGATCACCTGCATTCTCCCCCATGTGGCCTCCCCAGAGGTGCCTGCCCTGCCTGCCTTCTGGGGCCCAGTGTGCCCAAATTGCCCAAATTCCCGGACCCTGCACTCAGCTGGCTGCCACAGCCTCTATACCCCACAGAGGAGGGGATCAGGGACCAGAAAAGCTTCATGTGCTAGTGGTGAACACAGTGCCCTGGGAATGGAGAGGTGGCAGGGAGCGGGAGTGGGACACTGTGTGCTACTGCCAAGACACAGGTGCTGTCATGGGGACCTGAGGTGCCACATGTACCTGCTGGCCTGGCGAGAGAGGAGCGATGGTGATGACAGGACTTTGCCAAGGCTTTGGTGGCTCAGGCACTGCTGAGGTGCAGGCAGGGAGGAGCAGGGGTGCAGGCAGGGAGCTGGAGTGCAGGTGTCACCCTGCAGGATGGAGTCCTGAGCTGATGGGACTTTTTGACGCTGTGGCCGTACCATTGCCAGCTCAAGCCCGGGCAGGGTGGGCAGTTTTCCAGCCGGACAATTAAGCAGATTAACCAATTACCTGAACCTTGGCTGGGCCCCACATCCCAGTGGCTGCCAGGGTGCTGCATATCCTTGCTGTGCTTTTGAGAGACAAGTGTGGGGCAGGTGTGGGGCAGG